AAACTGCTTTGGAAGCTGAAGATGCTGAGTCTTTAAGAGAGGATGAGAAAACAGTTGAAAACGAGAAACCAGAAATCACTTCTAAAGGTGATCAACTGATGGAAAAAGAAACTGTTCCAAGAAAAACGGATGCTGATGTTCAAGAAGCATTGAAGGAGAAAGATGAATTTGAAGAAGCTGGGAATGAGAAGTCGCATGTTGGTAATGATGATGATGATGATGCTGGTGGTATGGCAGATGACGATGAGGATACTTTACTTAATGGGGAGACTGGGAAAGACAGAAGCACATCTAATGGCCAAGCATCTATATCTGAACAAAGTTCAGCTGCCTCTCTACTGCACGATGCACTAATGAAGAAAGCAGAGGATGAAAAATCAACATTGTTGGAAATCTCTCTGCCAGATGAAAACCATGGTTCTAGGAGCTCCTCTCCAATGTCTAATGTTACTGAGACTAGTGACAATTTCAATGCAAGTAGGATAATAAATGTTTCTGAAGAGGAGGATGAAAAGCCTGCACCCTTAATTTTCAACAGGCTTATTGGTTCAGGCATGAAGGACTTCAGTGTTTCACCTTATCGGCCATTTCCATGTCCTATGTGTGGCAAAGCGTTTAAGAGAAAAAATAACTTGAACGACCATATCGCTAGTCACATACGTCCATTTAGATGTAAAGTGTGTGATTGGGCAACTACTCGTAAGAAGTATTTAGAGAGACATCTAGTTACCAAGCATAACTTTCTTTATAGAGACATTCAGGAAGACGACGTGAAACCTATTGTTACTGAACAAGATTTTCCAGAATTTTTGGCAGCTGAAAAACAAAATGAGATCGACGGATGTGAAGATGATCAAGAAAATGAACCATTGGTTGATTTTTATGGTACAATGCCTTCTAAGAATACAGGTAACAAGCGAAAATGTTACTCACCAGTCAGAGCACCTTCTGCAAAACGATCTGCATTATTTCAAGATGAGGTAGATATGGACGTAGGGCCAGCGTCTCGACCAACTTCATCTCATGTTTTCACACAGCAGGTTGATGAAAGTCGTGCAAGTCAATTGTCATTTCTGCCTAGCAGCATTCCTAGTAATAGTAATACTCCTGCGAATCCAATCAGGGAAAGTGGTGGTTTGGTCTCTCAACACAATATCCATGGCAACCTGGTGGTTGGACAACAGAGCGCTTTCTTGGCAGCCCTGAATACTCCAATTCCTCCAACTGTGACCCATAGTTTAGCAACACAGGCTGAATTTCAAAATCTTCCAATAGTGACCAATAATGTATTGCCGAATGTTGATGCTGTGAGTTCACCGATTTACGTGCCTCAGGCTCTTATCTCGCCAAATGGGCCGGGGTTTTTGCCGACAGAAATACCAGACAACCAGCAGAATGCAACACCGAGAACTTTCACCCCCAAGGTAATCATGCAGGATAACAGCCCAGCTGTTGATGTTACAAACGATACTCCCACACACGGATCTAACACTGAACCAATTCAGTTGGAGAAATTCTACATAAGAGTACCAAATCCACTTGATCCCAAATCAGGTGACATTAGACCGTTCATGTGCACATACAACTCTTGTAATGCTAGGTTCAAAAGCATGAATCACTTACGAGATCATATCTATACGCACCTTCGGCCCTATGTTTGTGACGTTTGTGGTGCTGGATACGCTAGAACAGACTACTTAGCACAACACATGTTTAAAGTGCATAAAGTGGCGGTGTCAGACGAGGACATGTTTCGAAAACGTAAATCGGCTAATTATAAGGCTGTGAAAGGACACGCTGTAATGGGTAGAAAAAAGAAGCCTTCTAAGAGTCCTCCGTCTATTATGTCAGATGAGAGTAATAGTTCTGATCCCCCAAGTAAACAATATGTACTAGTACAGCCAGATGGTACATCTGTTATGATCAAACAAGAACCACAAGACACCATGGCTTAGCTATTAGGCAAATGAGTACATGGTAGTTTGCTATCGGTGTTGATTGATCAACTGACAATAGGATTTAATGACATGCATACATGCATGCATTAATTAATGATGTGTTTGATTGATTAATGTGACACATCTGGCTTCTACATTGCAGTACCTACAGTAAATCTCTGAAATCTCTGCACAAGTCTGTATTTATATTTTAGGGAAGTTGTGTAAATTATAAAAGAGAGTACCATACTAAAATAGACATATTTTTGATAACACTTTACAAGGACTAGCAGTATTCGTACTTGCAACTGTTATTTTAACCATCTGTCTTATTGATTGCCCCCAAAAATTAATTTTTTGTGATGTATCAGGTATATATAAGATGGTTGTATGTAAGTATTGTGGTGTGCAATGAATATTTCACAAGAATTGAAAGAGTCTCGCAAAATACATGATCACAAAATCGCGTGGCGAGCTTTCTTTTCTAAAAACGCTTTAGCAAATGAGTGAGCCAGTAAAATAACTGGTTAGTGTTAGTCTCTTGTGGTTTCGCTAATATCCTTACATAATTATTCTCAAATTTTTTTTTTTTTTAATGTCATTTCTGTTTATTTCTGTACATCCACTCTGTTATGCCATTGGTTAGAAAGACGCAACAAAGCGCACACAGATTATGCATCTTCATTGCATGCGAAAACATCAAAGTTACATACCCATATCTTGTATATGCTTGATATTTAGTTTTGTGGTTACAACTATCCAATATTACCAATTCAGCATTTCTCAGTTTTTTCTATTTCTGAAAAACAAGTATTGCAAGTTTCTAAACTAATTTGCATAACAAATAAGGAGGCTTCAGTTATCATTTTTTACATACAAGGAATTCACAACGAACAGTATCAAGTATTGTGGTTGCGATATGCATGCTTTAATAAAATAATCTTTTGGGGACAATACCCCCCCACCCCCACCCCCGAGTTGGATACTCTTCCTTGGTAGTTGTAGCAAACATATCCCCCACATACTTATTAATACCGTAGTAATAAACATAGTTTGTATTATATTTTACAAATATTTTGTGAACTTTCAAACTGAAGCTAGAGTTTTAAAAAAACTTCCTAAGATGAATGACCACAATGCTGGGACCCCTGAAATTTACAAGGTTGAAATTATTTTACACGCGGTAG